AAGTTCACTGTGACGCACTAGACTCACTGAGCAGCTATTTTTGTGCTAGGCACTTGTACATATAGGAGGGTGCGGCTAATTCCTGGGAAGTTGCAAATTAGAATTGAAAACAACACAGAAATAAATAGATAATTAGGAAGAGGTTCTTAGTAATAGAGTCTGGGATTAAAACTGTACAAAGTAGATATCAGAAAACGACTGGAGACAACACAAGGGAACAAATTCGGGTGGTACAAATACATATAAAACCCCAGAAAGAATGAACAGAGAAAACATGGGGAATTTAAATTTTTTTACTCTCCCAAAGTTTTGGGGGAAAAAAATCTCTAATGAAGTATCACAATTTCTTTTTTCTCCATTAGAAACAAATGTAAAATTAAAATACAAAATAAACCTTCTTTCACATTAGGCGTTACATGTTTTATATTGTGAAGTACAAACATATCCATAGAACTGCAAATGGGAGTGATGGAAAGGCTACAAAGTAGATTTTTGGAGAAAATGATCTCTGTCTCCACTGAGACTTGAACAGGAAAAATAATATCATAAATAATTGTGAGAAGAGTATTTGAGAACAAATTTATAACTGACAGAGAGCCTGAGAGCCACCAAATGATATACTAAGAGAAACAGTGGGATTTTCTTCAGTGGAGAGTATTAAGAAAAGAGTATTATCGCCTTCCAATTATGGTTTCATATCTGTTCTCCCCAAAGACACGTGTACTTGAAACCCCTTCTGGCCCTACAAGAGCAGCTTCTATGGTCCTGATGAGATCGTGTGCATTAGAATCACTTCTCCTGGAAAGGAGACGCTAAAGGGTACTCGAATAAAATATTAAAATTATGAAGGACATAACAAAGGCCAATCAGTCCTTTCTTTTCCCCAGACCCCATAATATGAGAACAAGGGTTATTTGATGAAATTAAAGAGTAGCAAATTAAGTGCTAATAAAATGAGATAGTCACTTATAATTCATTACCATGGGAGGTCACAGAGGCAAATTCTGTGGCTAGATTAAATATGGGGCTGGATAATTTTATGACCACTAATGATATTTTTAGCAGTGTAGGCTGATATTGTGAAAGAAGTAATCTTATTATATTCTCCAATAGATGGTTTGCAGGGACCCCTGGCAAGTCGTATCTGAGAAGCATGAGAGCAGGCCTCGCGGGTTCTAACCTTTGGTGGGGAATTGTCGTAAAAGTCAGTTTTTAAGGTGAATGTCTTCAGGTATGCCATTCATGCTTCAGTCCCAACTTCTATTGTGGAGGTCCAAAAGTCCTTTCTAATGAGAAGCAATTGGGGTACAGAGTTTTATTATGCAAGATGACTAAGTTCTGGAGATCAATTGTACAGTGATGCAACTAGAGTTAACCATACTGTATTGTGGACTGGAAATGTGCTAGAAGATAGGTCTTACATGTTCTGAGCACACACACACAAAAGGGAAATGTGGGAGAGAGGGATATGTTAATTACCTTGATTGTGGTGACTGATTTTCAGTCGATCTCCAACGTATCAAGTTGTACACCTTAAATATATATGTTTTATTTGTCAACTGTACCTTAATAGAGTTGGGGGGAGGGGAGAATAAACACTAATCTTTTTTTTTTTAAGAGGCAACTGGGAAAGACTTCTAGAATTTGATCATTTCTGGACCTTGGGGACGACTTCATTAATTTATTGAATGCCATCATGTATTAAGCACTCTGCTTGGATTTTTACACATCTGTTGGGAGAGTAAACATTTAGAGAAATTAGTGCCATTCAGACGGAAGGGGACTGTACTAAAGGTAGACTGTAAATGAGCGTGGATGAACACAGAGGCAAAAATAGCTCAACCTATGTGGGTCAGAGAAGGTTCACAGTGAAGGTGACATTTGAACTGAGTCTTTTTTATTGAAATATAATTGACGTATAACACTGTGTTAATTTTATGTGTATAACATTGTACAACATAATGAGTTGATAAATGTATTGTTGTGAAATAATTACCACAATAAATTTAGTTAACATTCAGCACCGTGCAGTTATAATTTTTTTCTTGTGATGAGAACTTTTAAGTGACTTTTAAATATACACTACAGCATTCTTAATTATAGTCAGCATGCTATATATTACATCCCTGTGCCTTATTTATTTTGTAACTAGAAGTTTGTACCTTTTGTCCCTTCCTTTACGCATTTCACCCAGCCTCTGTGTTTGACAACCACCAGTCTATTCTATATGTTTATGCATTTAGTTTTTTTAAGTTTTTATTTTTTTAGCTTCCACATATAAGTGAAGTCATACAATATTTGTCTTTCTTTGAGTGAACTATTTCACTTAGCATAATGCCCTCAAGGTCCATCCATATTTTTATAAATGTCAAGATTTCCTTTTCCATGGCTGAATAACATTCTGTTTCTCTCTCTCTCTCTCTCTCTCTCTCTCTCTCTCTCTCTCTCTCACACACACACACACACACACACACACACACACACACGTATACGTTTTCTTTATCTATTCATCAGTGACAGGTTGTTTCTATATCTTGGCTACTATAAATAATGCTGCGGTGAACATATGGGTGCTGATAGCTTTTTTGATTTAGCAATTCTGTTTCCTTTAGATAAAAATCCACGTGGAATTGTTGGATTGTTTGGTTCTCTCTCTCTCTCTTTTTTTTTTTCAGTAACCTTCATACTGTTTTCCATAGTGGCTGCATCAATGTACATTCCCACCAACAGTGCACGAAGGCTCCCTTTTTTCCACATCCTCGCCAAGACTTATTTCCCATCTTTTTGATAATAGCCACTCTGACAAGTGTGAGGTGATATCTCATTGTGGTTTTGGTGTGCATTTCCCCGATTATTTGTGGTGTTTAGCATCTTTTCGTGTACCTGCTGGCCATCTCTATGTCTTCTTTGGAAAAAATGTCTATTCAGATCCTTGGCCTGAGTCGTAGAGGTTGAGTGAGAGTTCACTGTACAGGCAGGTATGGAAAGGCATTCTAGGCAGGAGGAGCCAACAGTGTGCACAGGGCCAGAGAGGGAGCAGAATGGGATGTGTCAGGGAACTCCCAGCACTTTGAAAAGGCTCTGCCACAGTGCTCAGTTGGCAGCGGGGGAAGCTGGGGCAGGAGAGGGAGGAGAAGCCAGATCAAGAAGACTGGGATTGCCCGAGACCTCTCCGGCAGCGGCAGCAGTGGCGGCAGTGGGTGGGGAGGGGAGGGCAGGAGGGGAGGAGCTCCCAGGGAGGTTACCTGAAATAAAGGGCAGCCCCTCAAAGCCCGCCCCATTGTCCTACGCTTCCCTCTTTCAACTGCTGTCAGCGGGTGGTGAGAGTTGTAGTCCACTCAAGTGCTTGCTTCACTCATTTTTACTATCTGCCTGAAACAGTCTTTACCATGAACCTGATCACCATTATTAGTAATTAAAAAAACAAAAAAGAGCCCCGTACCTTTGGTTAGAGAAAGGTTCTTCTAAGTCTCAGATAAATTGGGTCGAGTCCAGTGTGTCTATCTGGTCCTATTCCCTTGGGCTTAATCAAGAACCAAATCAGTCTTTGGGTGGGAAAAAAGAGGCAGATTTCATTTGCCTGACCTTAAACTCCCAGTTCTCTGTGAGGTTGGTCCAGCAGACAAGCAGGAAAACATACACTGTCTTCGAGGAGCAGATGGATTGAAATGTTAAAAATCTGTTTGTTAAATGATTTCAGCTAACAAAATAATTTAATTAGGAAAAACGCACCCAGACTATGTTCCTTCTTCAGTGATATTTAAATAAGAATATCATTACTAATCACTCAAATGCTAACTTGGAATTTCTATACTGTTAAAATTGATAAGAAGAATCAAATGGAAATGAGAGAGAGGGAGAGAGAGAGAATGCCTTTTGAAGGAAATGGTTTTCTTTGTGGTTTTAGCTTTGTGGTGGGTGCAAATACTTTATTATCTGCATTGTTACATAGAACAGTATGCAGTCAGCAGTTTTCCCCATCACAGTATAAATAACTGTTGAATTGTGACACGTTTTCTAATGAGTAACCTTTTCCACAGTAGTCTTTTAAAGCTCCTAAGAAGAATCTTTAAAAACTGAGGTTGCTAGGGGGATACAGAAGTGAGGTTAGTGATAGTAGGTAAATTGATACATGCTCAATTTACTGTGAGGCCGCCTGAGTTACAGTGATGGGGGATGCAGTGGAAACCCGTGCACCAGACGCTGTTTGGTTTAGACACTCAAAGATGAATAAGGTCCTGACTCGCACTGTAAGAAGTACAAGAGACCATTTTATCACAACTCCTTGATGAACTAAATGCAAGTTCCATAGGAAAGGTATATCCAAATGTTGACTCTGTCTGGGGAGCTGGCAGTGTTTTCACTTAGGCTGGGTCTTACAGTCAACCAGAGGCAAAGGAGGGTGAGATGGAGGTAGGAGAGAGCATCTCAAAACCAAAGCAACAGAGATAGATGTCTTGTTTGCTTGCATTTTTCCAACTTCTGTTATATTAATGTTGTAATTTCTAACATGTTCTGAAAAATTCTTTTAGGAAGGATTGGGCTATAAGCATATCAGTGTAGAGTAGATATTAATCTTGTCAGTAAGGGGGTAGTGATCAAGGAAACCTGTAAGCACCAACATTAATTCACTTAAGTATGTATTAATCATTTGCTCTTCTGGACTGGGCACTCATACATAAGTCTTTGCTGTCAGAAGTGAGGCACGTGGCCTGGGTAACACAACATTTCCCCTCATTGTTAGAGATGTCTGTGTAATGAATCAATACATGTTCTTCTCATTCCAAATGTACTGAACTTTATGCGAAGTATGGCTTTTCATGACTGGGCTTCTTTCAACAAGGCTCTTAATTTGCAGTTGTGTGAAAAAGAAACATAAGCTTTAAAAGAGCTATGGTGCCAAATGATAAATATAGCCTTTCAAGGACCATGTAAAAAAATAGGTGAATGTATTTAATAAAACTTTTAAGTTTTATAAGGTATTCTTCATTCCCCTTTAGACCTCAGCTGGATCTCCAAAATACAAGTGAATCAACCGGCAGTTCTGAGACGTGCAGAGCAAATCCAGGCTCGCAGAACCGTGAAAAAAGAGTGGCAAGTAAGGGTTCTTCTCGAACACTCTGTTTCTGTAGTTTACAATGCCTGGGCTCTTCCCTCAAGGCCACAGTATTGAATTTCGTTCAAGATGCATCTAAACTTAAAAGATTGCAGCTGTCCGTGACTTATTTTAATAATTCATATAAGATGATGATGGGTTGGAGAAAGATAACACATTTATCCAAACAAGTTAAAAATGTTATCACTCTTGAGTGGCAAAGCCGCAAATGATTTTGAGGCATCTTTATTCATGAGTGCATTAAATGGCATATTTTCTCAACACATTTATTCAGTTGCTTAGACATACCTTCTTTGGATGCCTTCTATTTTAATTCTCCAGCCATAACATCTAAACCTGATGTGCCCACTGTTGAGGCCCTTAGGTGACCTCCTTTGACCATCATGTCTTCTTGACTATTAATTTTCATAAATCATTTTTCAAAATTCAAAAAATAATGTTTTGTGAAGTACTTGCGGTAAGCATATTCTCCCATGGATACCAACCAAAGACGTGCCGTGCATCACAGGCCTAAAAGGAACTGAGAGTTCATTTTACAAGGGAGGCAAAATGTTGTCTTTGAATCCTTTTGGGTTACATCTCACATTTTGTTCATCCTTGGAAATATCCTGATTGAAAAGTTAAAAGGAAGTTCATCAGAATGAGTTGTGAAGTATGAGTACTATTTAAAAAATGGAATTGGATTAAATTGAAATAAACAAAGAAGTTCAGCAGTCTTTTTATAATGCCTTATCCCAGATCCCAGGGCTGGAGTTAAAATGTGAGATAGAAATGCTCTTGTTACCACGTTCTCCCATTTCGGGGTAGCCAAGAAGGGCTCCCTCTGAATGAGATGGAGAAGTCAGATGTGGGGAGTCTTGATTTATTAGGGATTTCAATTTGGACTATCTATGGGAGAAAATAATTACGGCTACTCTTCCACCTTTTATTTTATTCTACATCATGTTCATGTTGTTGGTCACTGTTGAGCAATGTTTATATCGTAACAGAATGGTCTGCCTTAGAGTAGCATAGATGTCAGATTTTAATATTCATGTTTGTCTAGTGATTCTCTACTAACTGGGGTGGAAATTCATGTTTTTAACCTTATTTTTATTTTGTCTTCAAATCAGGCTGCTTGGCTTCTGAAAGCTGTTACCTTCATAGATCTTACTACACTTTCAGGCGATGACACATATTCCAACATTAAAAGGCTCTGTTATAAAGCCAAGTACCCAATACGGGAAGATCTCTTAAAAGCTTTAAATATGCATGATAAAGGTATGTTATTGTATATAATCTGTGCTGTGTACCTTTTAATAATGCTGATGACTAAATCTAAGAAGATTTAACACTCAGCTGCTAAAATGATAGCAGCAATAAAGTCCATGATAGAATTATGTACCTAAACAAATAATTGAGATTTGTCTCTGAAAAACAGCAGGGAAAGAATCTGAGTCTCATGTTTAGGTCAGTTCTTGCCATCATGGATTAAAATTGCTGGCAGAGAGTTTCTTGCTTTTTCTTTCTGCTTCTTCAGTTTTAGAAATTTTCTATCTAGTGACTCTAAAATACTGATTCTGATTCCCTAGCCATGTGTGGAAAAGCCAGTCTCATTACTTAATAATCACATCTCATACATAAAGTATTTTCTGTGAGTAAATGGAATACTTTTGAGAATAAAATGCAAATGGGAAATATTGCATGCTTGGATATTAGGATAGATCTTTTGAAAAAGTTACATTCACTCTTTTAGTATACATGAAAGAACTTACAGCAACTTTCTAGAGTTGCTATAAGTATGGGACCATAACATTTTAGAAATGGGGGAGACCTTTGAGAGTTGATCACCTTATTTCTAAATGAGGAAACCGAGACCTAGAAGGTGAAATGCTATTTCCAAGGAGACGTGCCCTGTTACTTGCTGGGCTGGTTTTAGGAGCCAGGTCTTTTCCATGAAGGGGTTGCTTCATGGTTCCTGAGCGCCTGTCCGTAATGACTGTAACTGGAGATGTTGCATTGGCCCAGGGAGTCTTAGATAAGTTGTAGACCTAAAACACTCCACAGCTTTTGAAAAATATTTATGATGTTTCTTTTGAGTTGACAGTAAAAACAGCACCTATTAGTAGCACTGAATGGTAACTACTTTTGGGGGATCGGGGCTAAAAAAAGTAATGATTTCATATAAGTTTTATGCTATTATGTTATTGTTTTACAGTGGTTATTTGGTTTTTTAATTTTTATTTTTTTAAAAGTCTATTCCTCAAAAAGGGGGTTCCAGATTTATATTTTATTATGTCTTACCAAAGAGGGGATAGGAGTAATTAAATGTCATTTTGCTATACTACCCTGCAAGATTCACTTACATTTTTTTTAATCCACTGTCTGAATGCTGTACAAATCTGGATTTTGTTAGTTACGTGAAATAAGACATTTTCATTGAGGCAAGATGACCAAGTTTATTATTCAAGAATTTTTTAAAAGTGGTCTTAACTGTAGAGAACCATGCATCCCAGTTGTTTTACTAGGACCATAATGATGAGGAAATGATCCATGTTGTCAAGAACTGGAAAGGAATGTGGAAAAGAAAAACCCTTTGATTTTTTGGCGACATTGTAGAGGAATTATTTTTTTCTCTATTTTGATTTCTGCCAATGTTGTGTTATAAATAATAATTAAAAGCATGTTGTGTCAGTTGTACCTCACGCCCAGAAGGCCGCTGTGATTTCTTTCTTCATAGGCATCAGCACAGCGGCCGTTTGCGTGTACCCGGCCCGCGTGTGCGACGCGGTGAAAGCGCTGAAAGCTGCAGGCTGTGACATCCCTGTGGCGTCAGGTAACACCGGCTTTTGTTGTTGTCTTTCAGCATGTTTGCAGCTCTTGAGCTCAAACACCTTGGGGCATTATAGTTTTATACTGCTCTTTGAATTAGTTTTATGTATTTGATTGGTTGTATTTGTTTATTCTTTTAGTGTTTATTAATTGCCTTCTAAGTAGCAATTAACATTAATTGATTAATTAATTACTAACTCCCTTAAAGGGAATTATATTAATTCCCAAGAATATAGAACTGTTTCCCAAGAATATACAATGGTTCTATATTCTTGTTGTTTTGCAAGAAGCGTCAAGTTAAAAAAATCATAATGCCAGATATGTAGTATTTTATATAAATGCAAAAAAGCGATAATAAGGATATGTAGAAGGTATAGTTGTAACTCTGAGTGGGGACTGATTTATTCAGCAGAGGTTGGTGACACTCAGTAAGGGAATGCTTCATCGAGATGGTCATAACTGCACTAGATCTTAAAGGGTAGGGAGTAGTTTAGTGTTGAAAAGATAAGGAATGGCATTTTAGAGGAACAAGCATGGGTGAAGGCACAGAGGCATGTTCGGGAACTGCAGGTGGTTGGCAGCTGTTCGATCCTAAGGTGAGACAAAGCAGGAACTGTGGGAGTTGAAGGTGAAGATCTTCCTGGGAGACCATGCCAGGTGGTGGCATTTGGGGAAGGTAATGAAGGATTTTAAGCAGAGGTGGGCCATGATCAGCTTCATGATGTACTGTGATAGGGCATGGTAGCGGGTAAATTAGAGAGGGTGAGTTAGAGTTAGGGAGACTTACCACCATCCATGTGGGAGATAATGAGAGCCGCCCCAAAGCCTGGAAGATAAAGAAAAGAGGGTATGTTCAAGAGTTATTGGCTTAAGATAGACATTGTAGGACTTGGCATAAAGGAAAGAAAAGTCCTTTTAAAAGCTTCAGTGTGTATGTTTGGGTATGTGTGCCTGCCTGTTGCCAGATAGATGGATGGATGGTAGACATAACATTAGAGTCTACTTTTAAAAGACGTTGGAGGAATATCTTGGTGCTTTAAAAAAGGAGTCTATAATGATAATTAATTTTTTATTAGAAACACATCAAAAGAAACATAATATACAGTATTTATATATAAGCTATTTGTGAAGATTCCCAAAGTATTTGGCAGCTACACCTTTATCGATGTTAAATTTTCATCAGGCTCAGTCAATTCAGCTTTTCCTCTATACACCAGAGAAACAGGCTTTCCTCTAAGGTAGCAGACCCAAGGAATTTAATAACGTCAAGGCAACACAGAAATTATCTTTAGATGCCAGAATGGAATTAATGATGTGCTTATAAATATTGTTAGTACTTTTTCAAAAGTGTAGGTGTATGTTCAGTTTCCTTTTATTCATACTTGGCCCTGCTCTTCCCAGCTCTGTCCCAGTCCCAGTGTTGTGGACTAATCAGGTTTTTTCCTTTATTCTCTTTCCTTTATTTCTATCTCTTTGGCTCGTTGTTTCAAGATAGGCAGTGGGAGGAACCTACATTACACTTTGGTTACAGCATCTAAAAATGTGAATGGTAAATCAAGAAAAATGTGAACGGTAAAATGGCCAGCTGATCAAGAGTAGGATTCAGAATTAGTGTCCATCAAGGTATGGACACAACTACAATTTTATGAGCATCATAAATATATCAGTGTGATGACATATTTTTAAATTGCTATTTACTCAGAGAACCCTCATGAGCATGTCTGAAGCAACTTAATTTCAGATCTTCTAGAGGATATAATACTCATGTTTGTCCTAATGCCAATACTAGATGAGATTACATTCTGTTTCTTCACACTTAGCTTTTCAGGGTATGTGTAAAGTTCTTAAGGGTCATTAATGCTTTGGTCTCTAAATGCTGTTTGGTTTTTTTGTTTTTGTGTGTTTTTTTTTTGTATGAAATTCTTTGTTGAGATACTGACCAAATAAAATTCTTTCCTTTCTGTTTTTTTTCTTCTTATTCTCCACTAGTGGCCACTGGCTTTCCGTCTGGACAGACTCATTTAAAAACGCGATTAGAAGAGATCAAATTGGCTGTAGAAGATGGAGCTACAGAAATCGATGTGGTAATTAACAGGACCCTGGTGCTGACAGGCCAGTGGGAAGGTAGGTGCATGTCCTTACCTACGAGGGAGACACAGTTCTTCCCTGGTAGATGAAATGGTGGGGATCTGGTAAGAGACAGCGTGTTTTGGAAATTATTGATCCAGATCACAAGTGATTGGATCAGAGAGTGAATCTAGGAGAAATCATGGCTAGCATTTCTTAGCCACATGCCCCTTACGAATCATACTCATCCTTGTGCCCCTTATAAATCTTGAAAGTTGCATACCTTCCTGAGCTTTTTAGATCTTCTTTTGAGTGCTTAGGTGACTAGTTATTCCATGCAATAGATTATTAACTTTTATTCTATTCTGTATTGCTTTATTACTCAGTGCAATAATCACTTCAGGCAAGTCTTTTATGCAAAGTTTATTTTAATATAATGAAGGAAATTTCCCTTTTTTATGTTAATCTTTGTAGATTTTTAGGATGTGGAATTATTAATAACTGCTAAGTCTGTACTCCTATTTTTTTGTACATAGTTTCTATAAATATTATTTTATATTTACCTTTGAGATTCATGACTTACTATCACACTGATTACAATAAGACATTGCTCATTCCAGTAACATGCTATTGTTTTTTATAATTGGATAATAAAGAAGTAGATTTTACCTCTGTCTTAAATATATTTTGTATACCAGGGAGACCACTGATAGCTAAAATAAGTACAATATCCCATTTTTAAAAAAAAGTCATTATAAAAAGTAGTTTAACTAAAAATTTTTAATGCTATTTCTAGATAATGTGAATACCAAATAAAAGGCCTGCTTTGTTCTAATTATACATGATCATTGTTAAAAACAAAAATTCCAACTATTAATAAAGGAAGTGTATCTTCCGCAAAATCTTATCCCCTAGAAATAAGCCCTGCAATGTACAACTGTCCAGACTTTTTTCTTCATATATATAAACATATATTCCCCCCTTTTTACAAGCTTAAATAAAAAGCAAGATTATATTTAATGTGTTTCTCCTTAGCCCACATATTGGACTTGCCAAAATCTCATGGATATCTTTCTGTGACTGTATCTATCAACCCGTCTCTCTTACTGTCTGTAAATCCTAATTCAATTGCTTACCCATTAAGAATTGCTTTTGGCTGTAGCGCAGCAAAGATTCAGTCAGTGGTTTAAACACTGAGGATTTATTCTCTTATATAAATTCTGGAGGTTATTTCAGGGGTATTTCAGGGTGCCAGCCTCACAAAATTCTTGGAGAACTATGCTACTTTTATCTTCCACTTCCAAAGCCTGTGGCTTCTACTCTCATACTCAAGGGCATTCATTCTCTAAAACAGCTTCTGAATGAAGCTTCGCCCTTTACACTAATCTACTAGACAACAGGAAAGAAGGGCTTGTCCTGTCCCTAAATCTTACACACTTTTGCTTAACCTCTTTGACCGTAACTGGGCTACAGGGCCATGCGTGGCTGCACATGAGCTGGAAAATGTAGTCTTTTAGCTTGGAATATTACCTATATTTCTGTACATTCTTAATAAGTTAGGTTGGTGTACATTTCTGTGGAAGGGAATGCGGGAGGAACTGGCAGGGAAGGACAATGTGCTATAATGAGCGAAACAGGATGTGACAGTAAACAGTTTAACAGCAATGGATTGGCTCAAACAAAGCAAAATGTTTAAATAAAAAGATATACGAAGTCAAAAGTCACAACAGTCTGGACCAGAGATTTCAGCCCCCAAGACTGTCAGCTGTGTCTAAGATAAGACAATCAGGGATACAAGAGTTCTGAATATTCTAGAAAAAAAAATGTTAGGGCATTCTCATTGCCTTACACTTCCCTCCATATTTATTAATATTTTTAGCCCTGGCCAGGTTTAAATTCCTGACAGGTCACAAATATCTTTTTGTACTTTCAATTTTTGTTCCCTTTCTTATAGTCCATGTGTGTTTTGGCCAATTGCAATAAATCTTAAAAGGCCTATTTGAAGTAGATGTCCCTTGTTTCTATGCATTAATTTCGTCTGTCTGCTTTTAGTCACAGATTTCAGTTAAGATTTAGGGCTAGAGGTAGAGAAAAAAATGAGTAAGCATAATACTTAAGACAAATCTGGAAATAAACCCTATGTGATTCAGTTGGATAAAAAACTATGTGCCCTAATTTATGTCTTTTATAAATAATCTTTTCTTTGTTTTTTACTATGGTATGTGTTATAAGTGTAAAGTATTTGGATATTATAACTGTAGCTGCTACAAATAGTCTTGTACCTGTCTTTTCTTGGACACATGCACTCATTTCTTTTGGGTATATTACCTAGGAATGGAATTGCTGGGTCACAGGGTAGCTGTTAACTTTTTGAGAACTGGTGCAGTTAGAAATATCTTCGGTAGGTTATATATTGGTTAGGACATACTGTACTACAAATAAGCCTTGTAGTTTATGATTTAATTTATCAATTTTTAATTTATCAAGTATCAAGTCTTGTTTGAACCATTAATTATTAAATTAATTTAAATTTAAATTTAATAATTAATGGTTCAAACAAGTCTGCTGGAGATCAGGTAACTCTCCAGGGCAGCTGCTTCTCCTACGGTCACTCAGTGATCCAAACTGCTTTGACCTTGTGGCTCTACCATGTCAACACGAGGCCTCTTCAGCAAACATGGAGTTCACACCTCTCTGTACAGCTTTGGCCAGGAAGTGGCACATGTCATTCGGTTCACAGGCACTTGATCCAAACCCATGGCCTCACCTAACTTGGAGAAATCTGGGAAGTATAGTCTTCTGGGTACCAGGAAGGAAAGGAGGAACAAATATTGGTGCGTTTGTGGCTACCACTCTTCAAGTGTCTGGCAGTACCTCTGTTCTAGGGTCATATGGAAACGAAAGTTTGTCCAGGTGTTAAATTCTAGGTAGAAGTAAATATTTTCTTTGTCTCGAAGTCATTTCTTAATGGTCTTTTAGCGTCCAGTGTTACTTTTAAGAAATTCACCGCCATTGTGATTCTTTGTGTTTTTCTTTTTGGAAGTTTTTAGGGTTTTCTCTACCCTTTGTATTCAGACATTTGACGATGGTATGCCTTGGTGTGGATATTTTACATTTTTATTTTTCATCATTATGTTTTTATACTACTTGCTGGAAGATTTTCTCAACTTTACCTTCAAATTGTTTTATTGATTTAAAAGTTATTTCTACTTTTATATTTGTAATTTGTATGAGATTTTTCTTATTTTCTTTTTATTACATTCTGTTGTTTTATGGATGCAATTCCTGTTAATTTTCTTAAAAGCTTAAAAAAGTTGTAGATATAGAAGTATAGTTTATATTGTAACCTGTACTTTTGTCTCCAGAGTACTACTAAATAGGAAAATAAAATACAGTAGGCAATGGATTCTGATATAATTGGCCATCCATTAATGAACTAGGAATAGTTGTTTTTAAGAACTGATAATTTTCCAATAATGGGCATTCATGCAAAATATAATAACACATCTTTGTCCTACACCATACTTTTCTATTAACCCTTTTTTATGGTGTTAATAACCTCTTGACCCAAAACAAATTGAAAAGGAACGTTTAATACTAGAAATTTAATTCTAAATAAAAATAAGCATGACTTAGGATTTTTTCCACTGCAGTATTTTGTCTTACTTTCGGTTCTCAATTTGATTACATATTGTATTTTTCAGTTTCATGTTTTAATATAAGCTGTTTATTAAAATATGAGTCTAAAATTGATTTCTTGGAATTTGCTGATGGAAATATCTGTCGGGCTATTACACATTCAAATGTAGGTCCTTCTCCTCTGTGCACTGAGGTATGTAGGACACTGGTTGCAGAAAGAAAGAATCCCATTTTTAAAATCTGATATTCAGAATGCATCTCAACCATTTCTCATGGTCACAAGGATCCCCAGTTTAGGGTGTGAACTGAAAGAAGAGATTGGAGGAGGCTCGTATTCCTCCTCTTGGATTCTTTGTGGTGATGATTTAAAATCTCTGCTTTTCTCAGACTTTTAACTCTTCTGTCCACCTTGAGACTCCTTCATTCTTAGCAGACGACCTACCTGCCACTCCTCAGAGAAGACAGAAAATGTTAGACAGGAACTCCCTCAAGGTCCTAGTATCAGATCTGCTTCTTCCTTTCCTTCCTCCTGAGTCCAATTCCTCTGCTGTGCCGTGGCTCTCATTTCCTTCCACATTTTCAGAGGCCTTACTCCATTTGTTGGCCATTTTCTCCCTCCTTGTATCTTTAGTCTCTCTCTTCTTGCTCATTTCCATCAGCATCTGAACGTATGTAAGCTTTTCTTATTCATTAAAAACCCCCACATGCCAACATTCCGCCTTATCCCCAGCTAAATTTCCCTTTCTTTTCTTCCCTGATGGCAAAAACTCTTGAGTTTACTTATTTCTCTTGAATCTTTTCTAACCAAGATACCAATGACCTCTCATTTCATTATGCCCAGGGGATACTCTTCGGGTTGTTTATTTAGCTTTACTGTTCAGCAGCATGGGACAGAGTGGGCGTTTCCCCTTTTTGGAAACACTCTGTTGTCATGGCTTTGGTACTTGTAGGTCCTTGAGGTCCCTCCTTCTACCCCTGCCCCAGATTCTGGTGCCATCTTGTTTATAAGCTTCCCCGCTTGCCCTGGCATCCCTGAGTCTTGGGATCCTCAGATCCTGTCCTGGCAAGCTCTGAAACTTCACCTCCAACTCTGCACACTTCTTCACTGATTTTGGCTACATTGCTTTTGCTGAAGATTACCAAGCCTCCGAAATATCAGAGCCCGGGTCTGACTGACTCCGAAACTCATGTTCCATTTCCCTACTAAACCATGTTGCTTTTCACCTGTCATTTCCGCATATGTAAACATTCAAAATCAGTGAATCTTGACCCAATCAGAGAATCTAACCATTTTAGAAAAAAATTCAAAAAAATATTTACATTTGACTTTAAGTTAATTTTAAGTTAATTTCTGACTTAAACACATTCTGAGTTTGATTTCAGCGCTGTCGTATCCATGATTGTATTATACTGGAACA